CACACCCCATAATACAGATGCACTCACACTCCAGCTTGCACTGCCATATACTCAGACCCCCACACCCCCTCACGCACCCCAACCACCCTCCCGCACACACCCCCACAAACCTATATTCACCCCCCTCAGCATACAAGTGTAAGACTTCGGTTTAATCTGTTGTGCAGTCACCTCTGTGTACACTACAGAAATGCCTGTAAATCAGGACACAAATATTGTGGAAATGAAATTAATGAATGCTGTAGATGTTGGATTTTTTTTTTTTTTAAAGAATATTATTTGGTATTTTTCTGGTTCTGTGATGTGAAAACCCCTTGCTGAAAGGAGTAGTTCTGGGGGCAAGGGGAAGGACTTCTGGTGGCAAAGGTCGGTGGTTAGCGGGTGGGACTTGTCCCAATATGGCGACCAGGGCGTGGTGCACCTGTCAAGAGGCGGGGCTACCCTCTACAGCTTGCCAAAACTGGGTAAGTGGCCCTCCGCCCAAAGTAATTGCCCATCCTGATATAGATTATGTGTTATCACTTTACTTGTGTAGACTCTCTGCAGTAACATAGAATTATAGAAAATTAAGTTTGGAAGGGACCACACGAAGTCATCTAGTCCAGCCTCCTGCTCAAAGCAGAGCTGTCCCCAGCTAGGTCTTCCCAGCCAGGGCTTTGTGTAGCCAGGTCTTAAAAACCTCCTCAACCTCTCTGGGTAACCTGTTCCAGTGCTTTACTACCCTCCTTGTGAAAACATTTTTTTTCCTAATAGCAAACCTAAATTTCCTTTAATGCAACTGAGGCCATTGGTCCTTGTTTTCTTATCTGCCATCACAGAGAACAGGGTAGCTCAGGGGTGGGCAAAACACAACCCACAGGCTGGATCCAGTCCATCAACTGATTTGGATCAGTCCTGCCAGGGGGTGACTGTATCCAGCCTGCGGTTCTGTGCATAGGACTGAGGTCCACCTGTGCCCTCCTGGGGCAGCCTGTGCACGCTCCTGTCCATGCCTGCCAATGGTCCCAGCTCCATCCAGCATGCACAGCTTCCTGGCGGGGCTGTTCCCAGTGCAGCTTCTCCTTCTGTCCCTGCTGCATCACTCTGGGCAGCAGGTTGTGCAGGGAAGCAATGGCAGCTGTGGGGACAGGTAGGTAGTGAGCATGACATGCCCAGGCAGATGGGAGGTAAGTTGCAGTTAGGTGGCTCCTGTCCCAGCACACAGGGCTTCAGCTCCAGCTGCTGGCTGACCTCCATCCATTCTGACAGCCCAGTGCTACCCACCTGTAGGCAGCTGAGTGGTGGAAGGTGGTGGGAGCTGAAGCTGGAACCCCGTGTGCTGGGGCAGGAGCTGCCTGGCTGTAGCTTCCCCCTGCCTGGCTGGGTGTGTTGTGCCCAGCGTACGTTCTCACAGCCACCACCCCTTCCTGTGCTCCCTGTTGCCTGGAGTGGCTCAGAAGGATGAGCCACTAGAGGCAGGGGGAGCTGAGCAGTACCTGGGCGATTGCAGCCGCACTGGGAACCTACGTGCACTGGCTGGGGCTGGGGCTGTTGGCAGGTGCAGGGAGGAGCACAGCATGGGTGGGAGTGGGCAGGGCTCGGCCCCATGCAGAGCATTGCTGGGGCAGCCACAAGCTGGATGCCAGGGGGGCAGACTGCTCCTGTCCTGAACCTCCCAGGCGAGCTCTGCTGCATGTGTAACCTGCTCCCCCCCCCACCCTTGGCTGGCTCCCAAGACCAAGTGCTAAGGCAGTCTCCCCCCCGCTCCCCCACATGCACACACTCTCCTGCCTCCCCCCCCCTTCCCCCTGCACCATATACAAGAGTAAAACTTTATTTTGAGCTATTATGCAATTGCCTCTATATACACTATTCATACACGGGACAAAATAAATTGGGACAAAAACTATTTTTTGAAATAAAATTAAAATATAGTAGATGGTTGATTTTTAGAATATGATTGGCTTTTTATCTATAATTTGGTAAAATTATATCTTCTGAAAGATTTTGTATGCGTGCCCCTCGGCAGCTTGCCAAAACTCATTAAATGGCTCATCAGCTGAAATAATTGCCCATCCCTGGTCTAGTTCCATCCTCTTCGTAATTACTGTTCATGTAATTGAAAGATGCTATTAAATCCCCTCTCAGTCTTCTCTTCTCCAGACTAAATAAGCCCAGCTCCCTCAGCCTTTTGTCAGAAGTCATGTCCCCAGCCCTCTCACCACTTTCATTGCCTGACATGGGGCTCTCCAATTTTGTCTACATCCTTTCTGAAGTGGGTACTAGTAGCCCTTTCAGCCCATGCTCCTTACAAATACAGCTCGATGTAAGTGCTGAGTAGCGCTAAATGTCTAAAATTTAACGTTTCAAAACTACTCCAGAGTTTTTGTTAAAGGTTTCTTGTAAACTGTTTTGTAATGTGATGTGGCTTATGGTGCACTGGCACAGATTTGTGTATACGTGCATCGAAGGGAACTTCAAGAAAACCACAACTTTCTGCCTCAGTAGCACTGCAAAAATGCAGTTATTCTCAGGGTTTAGGATGCATGTAGCATTTCCAAATCACCAGGATCTTCCTCCACAGTAATTAAACCTTATCTTGTTCAGCCTACTGAAATATGAAATGATCAAAGGGAAGTTTAGGCAAAAGTGTGTGTGGGGGAACTCATATGCAGTCTCTTGGTGACTTTTCTCATTGATGCTGGTGGACAGAAAATAAACATTTGAAAATGTTACTTTAGTGAGGTAGATGGAATGGAATTTGTAGTTGAGATGCCAAGGTTTTTAATCACAACTGGTCTTTCATTTTGACATCAATAGTAGAGATGGGCAAAATGCACAACATTTCTAGGATTCATTAGAAAAAGGGGGATTTCTTTGAATTTGGTGAACACCTATATTCCTGTTTGTTTGCAAGTTGGAAACTCAAGTGAACAAGATACATTGGGCAGACAGTGACTCCAAAACAATCTTTTTAACCCCTGTTTGCTCTGTAGTCTAAAAATTACCATCTGGTTAGGCTGAATACTTCATATGTTTTATTGTAAACCTCTCAGAGCCCTTTTTGGGAAGGGCAGCAAATGCATAAATAAATACTTCCTGGCAGTTAAAAGTCAATAGTATCAGCTTCTTAAACACCATATATAATACAGGCAAATAGGGAGGGAGCTGCTTTGTACAGAGATCATTCAGTTCTGTCTAATACGTGACATTGAGGAAATAAACTGTTATTGTGGCTATACAAAGAATTTTCATTTGGAAAAAAAAATAATTTGACACTGCTGACACATTAAGTTGATTTTAATGGTATTTTGAAGAACTTTATTAAACGTACCTTGCATGGGAAAATGCTGCATGTCAAGGATGATCATGAACCTGTTCTAAGTATCTGCTTGTTGGAACAGTCGGGGAAATTAAAATCAATCTCTTTTTTTCTTGGAAATATCAAGCTTAATTTTTTGTATTGCTAATTCTGTATTTTAGGCTTTAGAGCGGGGCGGGGAAAATGCAGCCTGCGGGCCACATGCAGCCCGCCAGGCACTCTCACTCAGCCCACAGCGCCCACCAACAGATTATACCCTGCCCAGCTCTTCCACCCACGAGGGTACACATGCCCCAGGTATACACATGCTCCAATATACCCTATTGTGCATTACTCCCACCCTTGCTGGCAGTGCCGGGCCCTTCCACCCACAGCAGGTTCCAGGTGGGGCTGCAGCTGCCGGGGACTTGCTCAGCGTCCCCAGTCTCCTGCTGGCTCTGGGAAACGGTTGGGGTAGGGCTGATATGCAGCTGGGCAGAAACACAGAGCATGGAGCATAGAGCTGGGTCAGGCCACAGCATCACAGCATGGAGCCTGTGGCCAGGGGGTGGTGGTGGCAGTGTAGAGCTCAGGTGGGCAGCGTGTGGATATCAGGGAGGATGGGGTGTGGAGACCTCCCCATGTTCCCCCATAGTGTACAGCCCTGGCAGGTAGTAGCAGCACCAGCAGGCTGGGGCATTCGGGGCACTAGTGCCTGGCAGGGTCAGCACTGCACATCATGAGTGCAGCCCCCACCAGGCAATCTATCGCATTGCTCCTCATACTTGCCCAGCAGGGGAGGGAAGCCCCATGCACTGAAGCCAGCTGCCTTCCCTTCCCCAGCTGGCTTCAGCATGTGGGGCTTCCCTCCTGTGCTGCGTGAGTGCAGGGAGGGCCGCAGCAGATGGCCTGGCGGGGGCTGCGCTTCTTGCTGCAATGTGCAGCGCTGGCCTTGCCAGGCACTAGTGCCCTAAGTGCCCCCTGCCTCCTACTGTGTATGGGGGGGGGGTCCCCACTCCCCCCTTACCCTTGGTCCTCACACCCCACAAAACCACACACCCACACCCTTCCCCCACAACCCCCCACTTATACACAACCCCCCAACATACCCTATGTCTCCACATCTACCATACACAGACACCCCCAAACCCCCCACCACACACACGCACCCACCATAGACACCGTACCCCCCCACACACGCAAGCTATACAAGACTGAGAAATATATGTTTATTATGCAATCACCGCTATATACAGTATGCAAACACAAATCATGACACACATATTTTTTGTAATAAAATGCAAGTATGTTATAGTAGGTGTTTGACATTTACTATGTGATCTGGGTTTTTTTCTGGTTCTAAGATGGCACCCCCATCCCAAGAGGAGTATTTCTGGGGGGCAAGGGGAGGGACTTCCAGTGACAAAGGTCAGGGGGTGGGACAACTAACCCAAGATGACGACCACAGAGTGGGACAACTGTCAAAGGGTGAGACTATCCATGCGGCCCTCACCAAACCTCATTAAGTGGCCCTCCACCCAAAATAATTGCCTGCTCCTAGTCCAGAGACATTTGTCCCAATTTTATATACTTTCAGCAGCGTAGTTCTAATTTTTATGGACTGAATACTTGCGCATTTTTTGGAAAAACCGAAGAATGCAAGTTTTCACTTCTGTGAATTTAAAAAGGAACTGTTTGTCTTATATTAGGATGGCCTTGTTAAAGCTGATATGGAGAAGTTGACCTTCTATGCAGTTTCTGCTCCAGAGAAGCTGGATCGAATAGGTGCTTACCTAGCAGAGAGACTGAGCAGAGATGTTGTTAGACATCGCTTTGGGTAAGAAAATTGGTATAAATATAGATACTGATAGCAACCTGTTTTTTGTCATTACTGTACTGGTCTACATTCTGAGGCATTTAAGTCAAAAACCAAGGTATTGTTCACACTCGTGGAAAGTGGATTTGTATAATGTTATCGGTTAGCCAAACGTATTTTAAAGTTTAACAAGGAAATTGTATGCAGTGTTGGATTTGAAAGGGACCTAATACTGAGTTAAACTCCTAGGCTTGGGAGTTTTGCGCAGTACATTTCCCTTCAGTTTGTCCAGCTGTTTGAGCTAGAATTGTTATACAAGTCAGTGTTTGATTTTATTGCATGAATTTCCATATATCTGAATTAAACTCATCACCTTGAAATGGGAGGAACACATGAGAACTTGAGAGGTACAGGCAAGACAGTAGTATGGAGGGATCAGAAGAGGGTATTAGAAAGGAGGAACATTGAAATGAATGAAAAGAGCATCGGGTAGGAAGTGATAGACACGATGAAACTGGCAACATGTGGAATTGGAAGGGAATCCCTGGCTGGCAATTAGGGTGGGTGATAAGGGGGGTACAAGTAAAATAACATGAAAAAAAAACATCTGTATATTTTTACTGAATGCAACAATAATTGGTTTACCATCCTATTTGCATTGTGTTCCTATCTTTGCTAAAATGCCCATCATAGATTTGTCTATTTATGATAGAGGCATTAGCCACACCGGCAGTAATAGATAAGCTTCCTTTTGTCTAAACGTAACATGAAGATGTGTACTTACTCTTCATTCATTCATTGTCAGGTATGTTTTAATTGCCATGGAGGCATTGGACCAACTTCTGATGGCTTGTCATTCTCAAAGCATAAAACCATTTGTAGAAAGCTTTCTGCACATGGTGGCCAAGTTGCTGGAGTCGGGGGAACCAAAACTTCAAGTTCTTGGAACCAATTCTGTGAGTAAGCCCATTTTACGTTCAAATGTCAATCTTGTTTTGAAGAAAATGGCTATATACAAGTACCTTTATGCTTAATATTAAAAACAAGCACTGTATATGGATAGTTATTCTACTAAAAGTATGATGAGTAGTACTAAGTTTTATTAGTAAATTGGAGTTGAATTTTTCACTAGCGACTGCAGTCTAGTATTCTTGGTTTCATTTTATAGAGCCCATCCTATATTTCTGGATTCTTGCAGCAATAATAGCTATACTTCCTGCTATTATGTAATGCTAACACCTTAAGATAGCTAGTATAATTGCATGTTGAGAGAGACTGCCCATAACAACTATTTTGGACAGAATCTAATTAATTAATGATTGGTATTCAACTCTATGGGTAAGGTTCCTCCCTCTACCCTCAGTTCCATGATAGGATTGATATTTAACACGTCTATCAGTGGAATGACACAAAAGGTGAGCATGGAGGTAGCAGAACTTGCAAGGAATACTGATTTTAGTCAAGATTTGAGAAGCCTGTGGGCTGTTGAAGCACTTCTGTAAAGCTAAGTGAATTAGCATCATAACACATGCAATTTGCACGCATTCAAGGCAAAAAAAATTAGGAAATAATATTCTGAGACACATTGCTAGGTTTGAAATTAACAGTAATTATTTTGGAAAAAAATGGCCATGGTTGTGACTGTTTCATTGAAGACCTAGGATCAGGGTACAGCAATGCTTTAAATAGAGTGTAACAATGGAATAAAAATAACAGAATTGACAGCATGGCTGCAGATGACATGATATGCAGTTCTGTTGCATTGATACAGATCTGCAGAATAAAGAATGCTATATATATTACATAAACTGCATGTGCTTAACCTGTGTCATAATATAAGGATAAGATGGTGTCAAATTGAACTGAAAGGCAACTAATGGAAATAATGAAATGGATTTTTTTTACGCTGCACGAAACCTTTTGTACAGCTGCCACAACATATCATTGATGCATAGCTTAACAGAATTCAAAAAGGAGTATTAAAGTTATTTTACCATTATAGATACCTAGGTACACTATCATTTTTCAGAAAGATGGGATATAAACCTGGGCTCTTTTAAGGGCATATGACACTTAACAGACTTGCTTTTTGGATAACTTTGAGAGCAGATTCTTCCGTGATGTCCTTTTGGGAGGGGTGGGGAGCAGTTTATGCAACTCCTTTTGAAACGTGTTACTGGCCACTTCAGCAGAGCACCGAACTAGAAGAACTGTGGTCTTATGTCTTTGGTAAGTTAGTTTTGTCTCCATGTTGCAAGTGAAATGGCTACAGCAGTGGAGGGCAAGCTTTTTGGCAGGCATGATGCCACACATTAGTTTGTAACCCTCCCAAGCACCACTTTGATTTCCTTCCCCTGCCCAATCTGCTGCTCTGCTTTCTGCTCCCAGCTCTGTGCCCCCTGGCTGATCTGCTGATTGCTTCCTTTCTTGTGCTCCAGGCTTCCGCCCTGATCTGCCACGTGCCACATAAAAGCTGCCCATGCCACTTGTGGCATTTGTGGCATAGGTTGGATACCCTTGGGCTACAATAACTCATATCTGTTGGTCATATTGCTGGTTTTAATAGTGGGAAATACTTGAAATTGTTTGTTTATTCAAGGGTTGGACTCCACAAAGCACAGTTTTATTAAGCTAAATCCACATTGCAAGTTGTAGTTTTGATTTTAAGCTGAATAATCAGTTCCTGAAGAAAAGGATTTATAAAGGAGACGCTGCCAGAATCCTTGCGTGTATCAAGCTGCTTTTGCAACAAAACTGGATTCTTAAATAATTGTACCGTAGCACTTTGATTTCAGTCTCTTCCAGGCTTTGATCTGCATCCTGGTTTGTTCAAAGACCAGCAGGGCAGTGGTTTTTTACTGGGCTGAACTGTTTAGCCTCCAGATAATGTCTAATTTATGGTAGTGTCGGGCTGATGCCAGTTTCACATTTGCATAATCCTTCCTTCAGTTTGTGGAAGAATGAGTTAAACTGTTTTAACAAAACCAGTTTACAAGGAAAGTTTTATGTTTAAGTTTCAAACATAATTTCAACAGCAGAGGTCAATTTTGGTCAGTGTTTGGGTTCAGGTGTAAACAGTGGCTTTACGGAAACATAGTGGAAACTTAAAGCCAGTTTGTTGCCTGCTGTTGAAATCCCGTCTGTGGTTAGAGTCCCAGTAGTGAGTGGCATGTGGCTGAACTTTGCTATTTCATGTTGATGGGAGATCCAATTTGAACTGGTAAATAAGTAAATACAGACTCTTTTATAATGTCAGAAATTAGGTCATTTGCATGTAATTTTTTCATTATTGAGGTACTAACAAGTAATCTGTTCTGCCTTTGGAAGTTAATGAGAACATAAAAACCCATTACACTGTTGGATCCAACCCTCACAGTTTGTGTAGAGGGGAGTGCAGATTGCTAACTACTGAATGAGAGGATTCTTTTTTCAGGCTAACTGCTTATTCTGTTGCAAATTATTTAGTTACCATGGAGATGATTGAAAATTCAAGTTTCAACATGTACTTGAACTCAAAGTTTTTAATAGTGGTTAAAATTAAAGTTTGGACAAGTGTACTTCTGCTCATTGAGGGTGGCTATGGTTACAAAAGCCTTCAACTCTAAACTGTTTTGCAATCATGCTTTTAGTGTGATGTGCAACATCTTAAATGGTTTATTTCGGCTTCATTTTTGCTTGCTAACTTCACAGCCATACTTCAGTGAATGGAAAGAAACCCCACACAGAGGCTGGAAGTGTCATTTTTTTTTTTCCAGTGAAGCCAGCCTAGATTAAATTCTTCAGTTTTAGGGCTTATCCTGCCATCATCAAGGCTTTTCTGATCTCTGTAGCTCAGATAGGCTGAGATACTCTGTCCCCAAGCTAAGTTCTCTGCACCACTATATGCAGTTTCTCCCCACCTCCTTTTCGGTTTAAAGATGCACA